TGCTACAAAATACATATATTCCATGTTTTTTATGTAACTTTTTTAACCCAGCAAACATTGTTCCAGTTGAAGAAGGGCGGTCCAAATGACTCAAACTTTAAAATGGATTCAGATGCTATTGCACAAGTTCAGGTAAATTTTTGGACAAAGGTAAAGGTTTTTCAAATCTGTTCATTTTAGTCACGTCTCAAAATTTGCTTAAAATTCTTGGGGCACGTTTTTGCAGTTTTTTGAAAACTAGGGCATTGTGGGTAATGTCTGTGAATCCAAACATATCCAAACACTGGCCTAAAGGTCGTGTGCTGCCTTTGTTTAACTTTCCACTGGCCTGCAGCCTCTGCTAAAAAACCACAGTGTGAAACACACTCATGCAAAAAGCTATTTTACATCTCACCAGAAGATGGCAGTAGAGTCTGGGTGCTGCAAACTCACCAGTTGATCCTTGACTTTTCCAGGTAATTTCTAAATTGACGATTATTTCTTAAAAAGGAAAATTAGGACCACAGTCTTTTTTTAATGCTTATATATTGTTAGTTGTCCTTCGCATCAGACAAACATTCTAAACGTATTTCCTCGTACACCACTCTACAGCCACCTAACTTTGCCAAGCTTTTCAAACTGGTCTACCACTAAAGGAATTTTAGGAAATCACTGAGAATGTTGGTCAAATTTTGCAAAACTGACAAATGTCAAACTGACCAGAGTCTGCTCAAGAACAAACCAACCATTGTGCAAAAGTATTTGAACTATAAAAAAATATGTCTTCAAAATATTTTTTTTTCTTATGCTAATCACAACTGTTTACCCTAGCAACCACATTTTCTGCACTCTATCTCAGCTTTAAGTGATAATGACACAGGGGTGGGTTGTTATAGCTCATAAAGGGAACATTATTTTTATGTTACTGACTCCTTCATAGCAACCAGACTTTATCATAGCAACCATCTTGGCATATCTCTATCTGAGCTTTTGAAAATTATAGAGACACGGGTTTTGGTTTAGATCACTCCTAATGGCATGGGATACTAGGTATGATGTCGCTGACTCCTCCCTAGCAACTACAAAGTCTACCTTGGCAACCATTGCATTTTGCAAAGAAATACTTTTAAAAGACAATTTTATGAGCCACAAACTTTAACCATCGAGTTTGTTGCTGTTATTTCCTGTTTGCAGATTTTGATTTGATAAGTACTTCTTTTACTTAACAAAACTCAACAATAGATAATGTTATAACTGTGCATCATTTTTATCTTTTAATAATATTGGAATAAATGAATATATATATTATACAAAAGATGCAGCATTTTTTATATAAATGTTTTCATTCCTAACAATCCTGGAAGTGTGTTGTGGTTGTAATTCTCTGTACGTTTAATGACTAGTTTGTTTAACGGGAAGCCTGGCGGAGCTGCCGTTAAAGACTGGGTAGATTAACACGAGTCCTCTGAGTCCCCGTAATTCCCCCGCTGTGTGTGCAGCCTGTGGCCTATTCATGTCTCCTTGAACTTTTACTTACACAAGCACCGTGGGGACCTGCAGCTAAACTGCCCTGTGAAGCTGCAGATGCAGGGAGTCAACAGAGGAATGATGGAGAAGGCGGAGGAAAACGTCATCAATTCTGCTTTGACTGCGAGAGCCGTGCTCCGCTGATTTATAGCACAGAGCTGTTTTTCCCAGCGAGCTGTTCCTCTTTGGCAGTGGCAGTGAGTTATTACCCAGACTGCGAGCAACATACCTGTTCCAGATCAATCCGCCGCTTTCTCGTGTTTGCTGCTTTCCCCACATTGATATTTCGCTATCGATTTCCCTCTGTTCTTTTCTTGCCGACTACAGCGGCTGGCCTGATGGACAAGTTGGGTTTGTCCTCTTTTATGGTGATGTGACGGGGATGGATGTGACGTGTCCTCTGTGGCCGCTGGATAGTGGACGTGTTAATGAAGCTATTAGCACCAAGAGAGGAGAGCGTGGAGAAATGACCATTATTCTGTCACCATTAAGTCGTAATCTGCAAACTTCCTCTGTCTTGCTGTCTCTCTCTCCGTTTCCACCTCTTTCTTTCTCTGATACCTGCTGGTGCACTTGCGCCGTTCTGTGAAGCTTCATTAATTCATCTGTTATCAGGAGCAGTTAGAGAGATGGAGTGAAGGGGGTTTGTATTGTGTACGGTAATCTAAATCTCATTACTTCAAAACTCTGTTCTTATAGAGAGACAGAAGTCTATTTTACAGAAGTACAAAAGATATTTCCTCCAGAGCGCCCTTGGATTTATCTCAGGTTAAAGAACTCGGCTGTAATTTAGTTTCAGGGTTCTTTGGCAGCATGGAGTTGGTCATGACGTGTTCCAGCTTATTCCTCACATTTTCAGCTCGTTTAACTAAATGCAGAACTTGTCCAGTGCTGAGTACTGGAATGCTTCTTTTGTCGGGGAAATTTGGGATGATTTTATGAGGTCCTGTGGATTCCTGAAACTTTGATTTCTGGGAGTGGAAGGTGGAGTGAGGGATCAAGCCCTGACCGTGGTGGCCTTGAGGAAGGCTTCGCTGCTCCCCGGGCCAACTGTGTTTCCGGTGTGTTTGTTCACTGCTGCACGTGTGCGTGCGTGTGTGCGTGCGTGCGTGCGTGTGCGTGTGCACCCTTGGATGCAGAGCACAAGTTCCTAGTATGGGTCAATCCTTTTTTGGTCATGAAGTCACTTTCAAAGCTCTGCTGCTCATCATCTGCTGCATCGCTGTGCAGAGATCTTTTGCTAGGTTTTAAAAAGCGTATCTTGCCTATTTTGCCTTTTTGAAAACACTTATAGTAAGTATTTGAGCGCTGCACCAATGATAATCTTCTAAATACAATCATAACATTAATCACAAAAAACATCTTTGAAAGCCTCTGCAGGACATGCCATCTACCCCTAGTCCTCCCACAGTCATGCTTTTCCACGCCCCCTGCTGACCAACCATCACCTGTCCATCAGAATACGGCAAAAAGCCCCTTGGTTTTCTGACCCTTCAGGGAGATTTTGATTTGGCCACAACTTTTTCCACTGTTTCAGCAAATTGAATATTTTTGGTCAGAAATTTTATTCATATTAAAAAAAAAAGCAAATATACAACCTTTTTTTATATGAATCTCTTAATCTACCACATTTGTATTCAAATTAATTTTGAATCCTTTTTTACCCTTTAACATCCTAAAACAATATATAACGTTTAATTTACATGTCTGTTTTGGTCTAAACAATGCTATTATTTTTATTTTTGTGTAACATACAATCGCTCTCCACGCAAAATCAAGCGTCAGCTCCTCCTGAATCTGTCTCTGCTCTGCTTCTCAAATATTGATCAACTCAAACTATGCTTATGCAAACAATTAATGCTGTACATCCTCATTAAGCTCAGTGAGCACACAGCAGTTGTTATCTGAAGGCCAACAATCCAGAAAACATTGGAATCGATGTAAACCTGGGATTGTTTCCTTCCACTCTGCTTTATTCCTCCATTACAGACAAATTCTTTTGCTTAGTAAGAGAAACGGCTCACAAGAGTCAGGGGCTGGGGAGGAATTCCAATAACAGACTCTGGACACCAGCAAGAGTTTTCTGAAAGATCAGGGAAACTATTATTATCAACATCCATTAGTATGAATTATCAGCACTACAAGAAAAAAATATATATTGATGATATGTAAATATTGAAACTTTCATCCTGTCCGTGACCAATAAACCTTTCAGTTCCGCACAGGAGAAAGCCAAGTTTTTGGGTTGGCTTCTGTATAGAGTTCCAATTATTCAGTCCATGAACAAATTCTTTTCTTCATGTTGTGTTATGTTATATTTTGTCTATTGCTGAGTTGTGATTAGCTTTTTGCGGTCAATAGAATCCAAATGTTGGGGCTTAGACTCAAATTTCTAAGTTATGACAAAACTTGTCAAGAGTTTGTGTAACATTTAGTGTAAGTTTAGACATTTACCAACTACAGAAGAGTCATGTGTCTGCTGTGTCTCCATCTAACAGACCACTGACTCCATCCCCAAACCTTTCAGATGAACAGAATTTCTGACGTATTTCCACAGCAAGATTCTTTACCTCCCATCAGACCTCGTGTTATACTCTGGTGCAGTGGCTGCTCGAGCCCCTCCTTTCCCTAACTCCTGGGAGCCAGGATACTCTTATCTCCATCCACAGGGTCTGTGCTATCAGCAGCCCTCCCACCACAGTTACGCCAGCTCTTGGGCTTCAGACCTCACCTCACAGAGGCGGCTGGATCTGGCATCCCTGTCAATCATAGATACCATACCGGCTCTTCATTCAGGGAGCCCCAGGAAATAGGCTCCACACCCAACACCAGTGAGAACTATGTAAAAGTTGTGTCATGTTGATGGAAAGAGTTTTGTGTTTTAGGTGATTGACATTTCATAGATATTAATACGATAGTACTAAAAATGAGGGGGGTATCGATGCGCTCTGCTCATGATAGATACCTTGATATTATGTCTATGATGCAATATGCATCAAAATATTTTTAATATTGTTTTTTTTTTTTTTTTACTATTGAACTCTTTTCCAACTATTGAAACTGGAAAAATTGAGTTTAAAACGTTTTGAGAACACAGAGCTTGTTTGAGCACATTTGATGCCATCCGTCCACTAGGGGGCATTTTAAATGTTGGCAGTAAGGCATCTTTTTAACTCTAGTGATGGAGAGAGATCATTTTTAAATCTGTCGCCTTTAAAATGTGAGTACAGGATAGTTCTCTCCTAGAAAATAATTCATAAAAAGAATACATGGTAAGGAAGTTTCAGAAGTAACTAGAATCACAACCACTCCCGGAAGCAAATGCACTTCAGCTCCTAGACGATATCTCCACGATACGTATAGTAATGTTTTGTGCCACAACATAGTGCTACTCCCCTACTAATATTTACATTTTACATTTGTGAATTTGGCAGATGCTTTTATCCAAAGCGACTTTCATTTTAATGAAAAAAAATACATTTTTCATCAGTTCCTGTTTCCCCTTTGATTTGAACCCAGAACCTTTGCCTTGTTAGTGCAATGCTCTACCAACTGAGTCACAGTAAAGCTTACTGGCTTTACAAAAAAATTACTGGCTTAATCGAATTAATTTGAAGGGCTACCAGTTGTATACTAGATTAATTACATGCTACTGGTAATAATTAATGATAGCCATCTAGTATAGCAACAAAAAATGTGTTAGCCACAAAATGTGACAAATATAATGTGTTTAAAAATAATAACACAAAACATAATGGAGTTTCCTGTTTCGAAATTGGAGGTCTGCAGATTTCTCTCTATCTTTTTTTTACTGAACACTTCTATGTTCAAACTTCAGTTGTTGGCTGGGCAGATTGAAGGGTTACTGTGAATGTTTGTTTCTGGAAGGGTTTTAGATGTAAACCTTTTCAGGTCTCAACCTTAACTGAAATATTGTTGCTGTATTTAACAGTTTGATAAAGTTTGTGACGTTTGTATATTGAATTTAGGGAGAAGCAACCAGTCTTACCCCATCCCGAGCTCCACCCCCATTCCTCTCCAGAACTCCTCGTATAACATGGATGTAATCCTTGTCCGGACAGCTCCCCTTGTGCATTTGTACTCACTAACTCATGCTCCCACTGCGAGGCGGGCCCTGGTGGTGAACCCTGTTACTCGCCGATAGAGCATCATGCAGAAGTTTAACACTGCATAGAATTACGCACAACAGGAAGCTGTCGATGTAATCTACACCTCCTGAGGTGTGCGCCCGTGGGTGTATCTCTCAGCACACCCTTTGCTCGAGCATCCAGGGGGGTTGGAAAATGGGGCTTGAGTTTGGAGCTTGCAGAGTGTTGGTATCCCCTTTTCTTCTCTTTGACACAGTGTTCAGTCAGAAAGCACGCTGGGATCTGCCTCTTTGTCTTATCTCGGTTCTTCTGCAGCTTTAACACAGAACATACAGTTCTCACAGAGGACCACAGGCACGTGCACGGCCACACGTAAACAAACAAAACCCACATAAACAGCCGTCCGTCTCTCTCCCGATTGAGAAAATGACAGAACACATTGGCTGCTGGCCAGACCGGTTTTCTATGTATTGTTAGACAGCCGTGTGTCTCCTTTGTCACCGAATACTCTCCACATGAATGAGCATCGCACGCACTCAAACCTTCTTTTTAAGCCGACACAGACTTACATTACAGGCACATTATTGTAAAATGACTCTCATTAAACCCATTGTCATCAGATGCACTCGTGTGAATCTCTGTGATGCTGCTCATATTCTGGCGACGGAGTTATTGATTTCATTCTGTGGGGATAACGCTCCTGTGCTCAATAAGGTACATCTGAAATCTCCTTGCATTGTGTGATGGATTTCGAGCAGAGGTTTATGAACATTAGCAGAAGATTTGTAAAACCAGATGTGTATAAATATAGTTTGGGCAACTAAATAAGTGGAACTTCACTGGATTCCTAGACAGATGTGCACACTCCACAGAAACATCAAGTTCTCTCATTACAATAACAATATTATACAAGACTTTACTGTAGAAACACGTCAAAAACAATACTTTACTTTTAATGTGGCAGAGTGAAATCTATTGAATCAGTCATTAAAATTATATTTTCGTTTCCAGAAAAACCTTTTTAGCAAAATCTTTTCAGCAAAATAAACGCTGGTCTTAACGTAATATCCTGCATTTCTCTCAGCTTTTGATAACATATGTCACACACTTTTGTTTTGAACCATATAATTACATCTGAGTATTATAAATCTATATGAAATGCTTACATTTTAAGTATAACAACAGTGTGATATCCAATTTAATCCAAAATCCCAACCCTAATCCAAACCATAAATTCAACATGATCTAGATGAGGTGAAGTTTGTTCCCTCTAGTGGAAGCTATAATGGAGCAAACCAAAAAGAGAGCAAGTAATCACATGTTGGACTTTTGGAAAGTGTCTCTCTTTGCGAAAAGGGAGTTTTATATTAGCTATGCGTAATGCATACCTGCTGATTGGGTTTGGGTGCAAAACATACACGTCAATGCCAAAATCAAATATAATGAGTCTACCGTCAGCCCATGTTCAAAAGAAGGCCTGTCAAAGTGCTGCTTGCCTTCAGAAGACACCAGAGGTAAGATGCAGCACAGAGAGCTTTTTGCAGGAGGTGGACATTAGCTGCTGTGACACAAAACAACTCCAAATAATCTGCAAAGAGAAACACAGATAAAAAGCCACGATGTATTTGGGTTGGTTTTGTGAGTGGTTTCTAGTAGTTATTTGATTTTTTTTAACTTGATTGAATGAATTCCTTGTCATCCTGGACATGCGAGGTGTTGCACATCTGACGATACACAATCAGTTCCACCTGCACAAAGAAAAGAAAAACATTTAACGTCAGATTTATTCGCTGTTAGCTACACTCCAGCATTGTAGTAGCCTTACAGCTCAGCTTCAAGTTCAAATGTTCAAAGGAACATTTCCTACTTGGTTTTTCCATATAATCTTCAGTAAAATGGAGATCACAAATGTATCTATTCCATACACTGGCTTGCTCCTCGTTGAAAATTGACTTTTCCTATTTTTTTCAGAACAGTTGCTGCTGATAGATAAAACACATATCAATATATATAGATATAATTTTACTATAAACATATAATATACATTTGTTTTGGGTATGTTTGGGGTCTGTTAAGTTGTGGTGAATATTGGGAAACGATATGGTTGTGTACAATATAGATTGTACACAACCAATATGGACTGTAGATACATTTTTTGACAGAGATCAGTCAACAAACCTTTTATGATTGGTTGACATTAGCTATTTGCATGCTTCCACAGCAACAGGACATGTGTACATGGTTTTTATTTAAAGAAAGAAGTGGAAATGTAGTCCTGCTTCAGGTCTTTAGAGATGCTTGAACTTTTCAAGCTCTACCTCACAGTGTCTGCACATGATCCGTTTCGCCTGTATGATCCATTCTGTAGAGCTCGGACGGCTCGTGCATCGTGCACAGACGGTCGCCGGCTGATTCATGGCTCCTTCCATCTTGAATATAAAGCAATCCATTACCATCAGGTTTTCGATTCGATTACAACTGATTTCAAAGGTCACATGGGGCCTTCTTCCATCACAACCCTCTGCTGTGCATCACCTTCACCCTGCGCTCTACACTCAAGAGGCAGCCAGCTGTCTCAAGCAGCTGTGGAGCAGGTTCATACACTCTCTGTTCGCTCTCTTCTTGCATCTTTCGTTATCTCTTGACTTAATTCCATCTCACTATGGCTGCAGGTGCTTCATTATACATTTGGTGGTCCAACCACAGGATATAAATAGAGTAAAGCAGAATATGTCAACCAACTGTTCACCTTAGTCATGATAATTTTGGATTTTTCATTGAGTTAAAACAAATACGGAAAGAGTATTAAATGAAAAGAACTGATTTGGGATGAGTGAACACTATATGTTTTTTTTTTCAGAAGCTCACTTGATTTTCTGTATTTGCAAAGAACTCTGCTTCTCTATTTAGGGCAGCCTCTCAAAGATACTGTAAAGATAACAAAATGAGGAAAACTGAGCAGTGAAATGACCTCATTCCGAAACATACATCACAAGGAAAGAAATGGAAAGCAGGCGATGCTCCCCCAGCATAATTTTTAGGTAGGGTCACCAAACAGATTGTAATTTGCAACCTTGGAGGAAATAAAAAGCTTGTTCGCTCTGCTTCCATCACCTTCCCAGCTGAGTTTCATTTCCTCTGCACATCGAGAGGCTCAAATGCACTCAGAGCGAACACTTCTCTTACAATCACCAGAGGTTTCTCCTCCTTAAATGTGAGGTTTTCTCTTCAAACTAAATCTCAAACCTTTCAAAAGGATAAATTCTGGACGGAGAGATTTATCTTTTGCTGAGTATTCCAGGGTAAAGGAACATTAACCAAAATGAACCAATGAATGAAGGCAACAACTGGAAAAACAATGTCAATAATGTTGTGAACCAATCCAATAATTCTAGCAGTTTTACACGAGCTGCTGGCACTTGTTGTTTACGGTCGGCCTGTGAAGATGCTGTATGAGATTTGGGAGATATTTGGATAGCTACAGACAATTACAGATATCTAGAGCTGTCCTATTTGAAGATAACTGATTATTACTAAACTAAACATGTGGTTACAGATATTTTAAAATATAATGTGCACTAGTCACAGGAAGCTGAGCTTTGTGTGGATAATTGGAACATTGATCACCAGTGAGTCTCCCACTTTGTTTTCCACTTAAAGCTGCAGGCTATTATGGGAAATATGTGCATAAATGTTTAAAAACTGAAACACAATCAAAAAAACTACAAGCGTAAAACGAGACAAAACACCAACAATTTAAAACTAAATACATATCAGAAAGAACTCAAAATCTGACGATAATAAAAAAAATCCCAAACTATTATAACCAGCTCAAGGGGAGATGACTTGGCATCCTTAGCTAGTAAAACCAAACCAGCGACTTTCAGGGTCCTCTACCACCAATTAATTACAAGCAGACCCTTTGGGCCTCCAGGGGCTAAAACCTTGGGACCGAGTGACTGTCTGAGAGTGTTTCTAAAGCTCCGGTGTTCAGAACTGAGACAGATTTCCTCATTAGAGCCTCTAGAGACAGAGCCTTTGACCCATTGGCTTTAGTGACGGATGCTGCAGTGCTGCCGGTTATCATTTGGCTAGCCTCACGTCTACTTTAAACTGGCCATTCGACACCTCCAGTCACTTCCAGTTCCCTGGCATGGGATGTTTCAGCCTCTGGATGACCGCACTCTGGAGAGTTCAAGTCTTAGATCTAATTATAGTCATGTAATTTTATTTACCGCCGTCAGGTTTATCTGATTTCCCTTTGGATGGACTGTGACAATTGGAGCTAACGTAACTTGAGCTAAAATCTGCAGTGTTTCATCTGATGCCAAGTGCAATCCATCTAGCGGAGAATGACCCTGGGTTATTTATGGAGCTGTGCATGTTGGATAACATGTAAATGTGCACTATGCGGTAATATGTGCTGTTTCGCTGAGACAAGTTGATGTAGCGTTGAAG